AGAGAGAGAGAGAGAGAGAGAGGGCACATTTATCTCGGTTGGTTGGAACGACAACTTATAATGATTAGAGGTCCAACGATGGAATCCTAATCTGGCCTCGTAGCATTGATACAAAAATATGTCGACAATGTTACTAAATTATCTTTTTTAAGAGCTATATGGACTAAAGACGAATTGTCCATTTTATTTTATTTTTTTATTATTTCTTCGTCCGTATTGATCATTCTTAAACTGTAAATTGATTTGTCATCATGGAAATATGTACTTTCTCTTCGAAAAAATATTTTTCGCTAAGGGGATCGATTTTTTAATCTGAAATATACGGAAAATGATCTAGATTTATATTTATTGATTATTATTTGTTAACTTTTCATACTGATTTTCATGATTGAAGAAATACAAATAGGAATCTAAACGACTTTTTGTGTTTGTTTAGCAAAATGCTAGTTTGTCCACTACAATTTTGATTAAAGGAGGATAGAGTTACGTTTTCCCGACCTGATGATCTTTAAGGCGCATTCTTGTTATTTCCTTAAAAGTTATAAAGTTATAATTGATATCTTCAAATGTCTATGAGTAAATAGCTTACGTGTATCAAAATAGTAAGTTACCTTTACAGTGTATTTGTAACTAGTTTTGCGATTTGTAGACCTTTGTTTTGGTTTCTCAAATAAAAAACACACTTAAGAATAATTAACAGCTCTTTGAGATAAAACAATACGTATCGCTTTACGCGTCAGAGTTTAAGCGGCGACTCTAGCCTGATAATTGGCGTACTTATGAGATATAAAAAGATTGCCGTAATGACGCAATAATGATGATAGTTGCATGTTCAGGCCCAATACTACACTGATTTTACCAAGTTGTATTTTGTAAATTAGAATAAGATATTTTACATAAGGGTTAGGTAAACAACGCAGTTTAATAAACAACCTTATTTACATAATGATTAGGTAAATCACATTGTTTATTAAACAACCTCTTTTCTCAAAGGGTTAAGTAAAAAACAGTTTAATGAACAACCTTGTTCACAAAATGATAAGATAAACCACATATTTTAAAAAAACTCTTTCTAAAATGGTTAGGTAAAACCGTTTTAATTAACAACCTTGTTTTCATAATGGTTAGGTAAACAATACAGTTCGATTAAATAAGTGCTTTTATATAATGGTTAAGTAACACAGTTTAATGAAAATCAAGCCAACATCGGAATACTGTCACGTCATCAAAGTGAGATCGGGAAAATGACGTCGAAACCACAAGGCATANAGTCGTAGAATTGATTTTTTCGTCCTTAAGTGTTTCTCAGTGTTATGAGCTTTATAACAACAACAATGACCTGTTTGTAGCAGAAGTAAATAATGAATATCGTATTCTAAACGAATATAAACAATGACTTACTTACGGGCGTAAATATTCAACTTGGAGTAAATGGACCTTCCAGTTATGTGACACTCACGTGCCGAACATATTGATATTAATTAACATTGAGGCGAAGCATCATTATTTTGCCGTTTCTATGCAACTTTCAGTTTTGATACAAGGATTTGACATAGAGTTTAGGCTCATTCAATCCTCGTTGAAGGTTTTGCCACGATGTTTGGATCAAGGTTGTTGCTATTTAAAGCAATGTACATGTAAAATAATATCCGACCATAGTTCATATCATAAAATGTATTAACGGGTACCCTGAACGTTTTGCTATATCAAGCTAAGAAAATACTTCATATTATGCAATAAAAGAATAAGAAAGTGCGAACGGCGTAGTTGACTCCGTTTCCGAGATATTGTGATAGTCTCTATACGAATAGCCCACATCTGTGACGTCACAAATTCAACGCTGTCAAGACAGCCATATAGGAAGAAACCCGGAAGCTTCGATCGTGCGTTCGATATCTCAGCATTTTAGCTACTTATATGATATATTCCGTCGTCACTCACTTGTGGTAATAATTTTTAAGAACTACATACATATAGATGTTTTTTGTTTTACAATTGTAATGATGAAATGAATGCGTACTGAGGAGGCAACCAGTGTGTTGGATGCTATTTAAATGAATATGGTTTTTTTTACATAATTGGTTAATGTAGTGACTGTCAATAATATACTTTGTATTATTTAATTGATCTTCAGAATATTTGATGAACCCCTATATGCAACCCGTGTTTTTTTTACTCCCAGTCATACAACTTGAAACGTTTTTATTCTTTATGCAATCCAAGGAATTTACCACATGATAAATATACACACCACTTCTAAGAAAACGCAGAGGGAGAACCTGTCCGTTCAAGTATCACAAAGATAAGTAATTTATCAATGAACCACCTTTTCAGATATATAATATTCATAGCATGGTCCAGCATTATTTGCCTCGTTTCTGACTTTCATCTGTCGAGTGATGCAGTTGTACTGATTGTGATTTGCATATAATGTGACTCTGTGACAGTTCTTACGCATTTCATTCATTTTTTTCCCTTGAAATTGATCCTTATACCAGAGACGTAATATTTACGTCTCTGCTTATACCGTTATCGCGCCTGAGGACATTGTTGTTAAATTGAAATTGGAAGGCACAAAAACCACAGTAATCTACATACTAACTCCTGGTACCCCCTTGCCCACCTGCTGACACCCCTTTGATGTCATACCTGTACACAGGTATATAGGTGAGTATTGTGCCTCCTGCTGTCATCACTGGACACAGGTGTTTAGTGTTATAGTTTTTACACCTACGTAGGCATCACATACATAGGTACTGTGTTGTATACAATTAAATGTGTAGCTGTCGTTATTTTGCTGTTTATTTGATAGCCACCTTACATATGGAAGACACAATGTCGTCGATTTGTCATTAAACGGTGATACTAAAAATATTGACATTTAAAAACAACAGACATAAACGTTGAAGTTATTTTGTAAACATTTTTTACTGATATATTTCCGTAATTTTGGACCGTAGAGGTACCACAGTATATAACATTGCAATATAAATTTTCCGGCTTAGAAACTGGTCACGAAGTAGTGATGTTCAATGATGACATGACTGGATAAGTTCTCGCTGTAGAGCAGAGACATATAAAGTATATACGTCTCTGTTTAGAATAAAGAAAATGATTGCAAACTGACTTTCCAGCTAAATTTTAGAAATATCTTTGATTGACAACATTGAGACTATTTCTGTTAAATTTCCCTCAAACTCGTTCATTCGAAAAAAATCTCATCAGTGCTCAGAATCAGGTGAAAATCGTACAATTTACACGTTAAAATCTCGGTATTGGGATGACCGATTTTTATGCTGTTTTCGACATTTTTGTGTTTGGATCATATACATTTAATGGTGTGACAATATTGAAAAAAGCAGTAACAATGATCGAGTTATTAGCATTGAAACACATACAAATGTTCAAAAGTATTTACACATTTGACGTGTGTATTTCACCGGAGCAAAAATTAAGAGTTGATAAAAGTTCCAAGATATGAGAGGTAGTTGTTTAGAAATATAAACTTTTTTGTTTACGGCAAATATGAAATAAATAATGTCAACTTATATCTTGCTGGCACAGATGCTAGCGTGCGGGTGCTCGTAATGTGAAAAAACCGGAGTAATCGTAGAAAATCCGCGCGATAGGGCAGGGGACCCCGTTCCTTTTCATGTCCGATTGGGGGAACTGAACCCAAGCCGCCTTGGTGAAAGGCGAGTGCATTAACCTCTGCACCTCTGCACCTTCCGTCCCAGAATGAATTCGACCTCAAATATGAATATTAAATTACCGTCAATGAAAGCGACTT